GGACTATCAAAGTAAAATCCTACAAAAAAAAGTAAAAAAGAAATCCTTAGTTAATCAAAACAGAAAAAGAAGGCCAAGTTGATGAAAATTGAGAAAAAAAAAATCAAGCTCACCAATGATCATAAATTTAAATTCGAGAAGTAGGAGGTTGAGCAATAGAAATTTGAATTAACCTTTGAATAAATTGTTCAAATCTAAGTGGTTTAGGATCTCTTTGATCTAACTTTGACCCGACTTTCATCATCAATGCACAAACACATTCGATATCCGATTCGATTGGATCATTAACTTTAACCAAAAGTTTGGTACAACAAATATCTATAATCTTAGCTGCTACTATATTCAATTTAAATAATTCACCAATCAATTTGATTAATCCAATCATTTGTCGTTTTTTCTTTTGGTCTTGATAATATTCTTCTGTAAATTCTTGTAAGATTTCATTTGATTTTTCAATGTTTTCTTCTTCGCTTGAGTTTTTCTTCTTGGATTCATCATGGTTTGTAGGCCAAGTTGATTGAAATGAAGTTTGACATTGATCAAGTAAATACTTTCGATAAATCAATTCTTGATCTTCTTCTTTGATCACATTCCAAGCTTTACGATGTTGGATGGGTTTAGCAACACTATCAAAGATCCGCTTAACTAATTCTGCATAAAGATCAACAAAAGTATGTTCATCTAATGATTTTTTAAAGATCAAATTGAAGATCAGTTTAGCTAATTCATCTTGTTTTGAATCTTTTGATAAATTAATGATCTCTAAGATTTGATCTGATATAGATTGAAAGTTCTTCAACGTCAGTTTGTTTAATAAAGCTGTTGCTTTTCTTTTTGTTTTTTTAATTTCGTCTTCTTCATCTACTTGAGACCATACTTGTTTTGGAGCTACCTCGCGTCGAGCTTCGCGATTTATCGGACTTCTGTAGTCTGTACGAGGTTTGTAACCAGTTGGATCCCGCCAAGAGGTTGAGTTAAGACTCTGTTGAGCAGAATTATAGACTGGATTTGTATGTGATGGTGTATTGACATGTGATGGATGTGATAATAATGGCCTTGGAGGGGTATTGGCGACTCCAGATCGGCTTGGGAGAGGTTCTTGAGTTAGGGGACCAGGACCTCTTCGCCAATTGTTGAAATCACGAGTGGATTGAGTTTTCGACATGTTGGAAAATGATTCGCGTATGGAATGAGATAAAGTGTTTATAAGTGTTGAAGGCGTGTAAGGTTCAGCAAGTGTTTTATACAATTGAGTGGAGTAATAAGTTGATGTGATCCGGAAAAGTGAGATCGGAGAGAGATATATAAACTGGTTATTACTACGAAAATGAAAATGGTTTAAATGAGAGGATGAGGCTTAAAGTCTCCTTGGATGAAGGGGTTTGCTTTTATATATGTTCAACAGCTCTCAGTCAATCATTCTACCAAAGCTCAACGCTATAGTAAAAGTTTAGTCAAAACAATGAAAAGTCAACATCCGTACATTTGAGTTGACTTTTCGGGCCAGTGAATTGACTGAGGGAAAGCACTCTTTGGAGCAGTGTGCTTTCTTTTACTTTAGATCGAAACCCATTCAAAGATGCCGCTGATCGAGATTCAAGGATGAGGTCATGAACAGTTCTCGATGCCCTGTTCTAGGAGCGTAAAGGGAAGATGGCAGGTACGCTGAATGGTACTCAGAGAGGGTAACTTCTTCGTTTATTGGGTACTGAGTAATTCTCAACCATCCAAATGACAAAAGCTTTGATCAAGATCAGTCAGAACTTGTCTTATTTTCACTCTTCCTGAAAAGGTATATGGCACAAGAAAGGTGCTTTTATGTTCACTTCTCTTATACCTTTCTTGTCAAAGCTCACGCTATGAGATTACTGCCTGCTGTAAAAAAACCCCCCGATGTCGCTCCCTAACAATGGGTCAAGAAACGGGCCCTCTTGTTCGCTTTGCTTACATAGGCTTTTGTCGAATTGGACGGGTACGTGGTTTTCATGTGGATCATTCTATCTTACCATCTCTTTGAATCAAGAGCCGGGCTGATTAAGACAAGACATAAATCCTCAAGTTGTGCTATATTTTCCTATCCATGACTGAAATGTCGAACATGGAATTCGATAAGTCAACCTGAATGATAAAACACCAAGTTTTATTCTAGTAGGTTTTGTTCTTACTAAGAAATATTCAATATTTATTCATTTCACATCATCGGTTTTATGAGACGAGGTTCGGCGTTCATCATTCTGCGAGAATTCGTAGTAGCTGTTGTTTATTGGGCAGTATACAACGTCGCGTATAGACTCTGACTCTAGACGCGTGTGTAAAGGCGTCATCAATGAATTTTGAGATAAGTTTTGTAACTCCAATACTCATAATAATATCAGACTTCTTGCGACCTTGAACTACCCGCATGCGTCTTTATGTACCAAACAAATTTCCTTCACCATGTGGATCTGGTTATCAAGAGATACAAGAGAAGAAACCTTTTCTTTCTTCCAAGAAAAAAAAACAAAACCACAAACAAAAAAGTAATTCAAAATGAGATTATAATATGACTTGAAAAAGGAAACACGAGGTATAAATGGAATGAAAAACTTTAAAAACCAACAAACGAGATACTGAAAGTCGTTTACTGTGATTGTTTTTTGAAGAGTGACTCAGGGACATGAACCGATCATGGTCCCTAGGACTCAGGAGTCAGGTTCTAGAAATGAGAATAGGTAAGGAGTCATCGTGACGTCGCGTGGACGAACGTCGTGTAAGCCTTGATTCTCAGTGTCAGCACTTGCTGTGCTCTTTACCCTTTTCGAGTTCTACCTCTTTACCATCTCTTCATCCCAAGGAGGCTTAATTCCCTCGAGTTGATTCCATAAAGCATGGAGGACTGCCTCACTCCGTTTTCTTGTTATTGATCTCTATCGTTGGATGCTTATCTTTGATATTGTTGAATATTGTCCCACCCACCTCTCCCTGTATCTTGTGATGTTTTGGCCGCCCCTTAGTGGACCTTTTGTTTAAAGCCTTGAGTTGTTGCTCATATCTATTCCGGTTGATATTTGTACTTATTGCGGGCTCCACGCCCCGATTCTGGCTAAACCCCGCACATCGTGAGTTTAGCATAGGACACCTCAAGCACCCAAACCTATTCTAGGACAACACTGAATCGATGAATAAATCAACTGTCTGTCTTAACTTCAAAGTTCAAGGTCTGAGCTAACTACTTCCGGATGAATAGCCGTTGATGAGAGACTCAAGAAAACGAACCTAGCCAATTCACAATTGCAGATTCATCCCACTCCTGCATCTCGGTCGGAACGATCAGAAGGTGTGCTTCACGAAATTTACCAGCCGCACGAACGGAACTAATACTTGGGTATGTGTACCAAAAGTTGGAATACCTTTCGCCGAGCGACGTTGACTTGACTAACAGTTGCATTGGGTATCAGTCTGGCTTCTACTTACGGGGACACGTGAAATCGGCGTGCCGGAATTGTGATCAATATTTCTGGTCAAGATCGAAATTTTTATCATGGACTCAAGTGCGCTGGTGAACGTGAAAGAGGTGCAGTTGTTCTGTACTTGTCAGGGCAATACGTGATATTTCATGGCACACTGTTGATGCGATCTGTTTGATGATTTCAGCTTCGAGTTATTTCAGTCGAATGCTGAGCTTTTCTAGTTCGTGATAAAATTCTGTCATCACAAAGGCTGCCAAAATTGGTCGGCCGTTGGTAAAATTTGACGGCGTCACGTGCCGATGCCAATGACAAAACTTCCATCAGGGACAAACTTCCGCTCAGAGTCATCCCACCCCTCCATCCCTTTCCCGGACGGAATAAAATTGACACACTCGTTAGCTTGTTCTGCCAGCACCACCCGCACGAAGATCTGATGTTTGGTACAGGAACTCTATTTGTTAACTCGGCTAACAGTTGCATTGGATGTAATCTAGGATGATTTGAAGGTCAACTCGTTACTGGAGACGCGTAAAAGTCACGAGCGGGAATTATGGTCGCTATGTCTGGTCAGGTTGGAAATTGACAAAAGTGACTCTGCACTGGTGGACGTGAGAAAGATTCAATTACTACTTGGTCAGTGCAACACGTGATGTTTCAAGACACACTGCTAATGTGATCTGTTTGATAATTTCAGATTCGAGTTATTTCAGTCGAATGCTGAGCTTTTTCAGTTTGTGACGATATTTTGTGATCAAGACCGCCAAAGTTGATCGGCCATGGAAAAATATGGACAAAGTCCCGTGCCGACGATAGCACTATCATCAGGAACACTTCTGCTTGTGTGCCTTGAGGAAATCTTTCAACAGACCGGCACACGATTTCAAGCAGAAGACATGTATAAATATCTGTCGTTCTCTCCGATTTCTCCCTCTCTTCATCCTCTATCATTCACATCTTTTGATAACATTTCCCAACCATTTTTCACTCTGCACTTTGCATCACTATCATCTGAATATCTGGTTCCGCAGTCAACTCTCTCACAACTGCATCATCACATCTCTCTATCTTCTACCATCCAATCTCAGTGATCTTGATCTTTCTCGATCTTTCTTCATCCTTCAATCTCTTTGACCCAACTCATAATTCCTCACCTTCCTGTCATCAACATGTCTTACCTATCACTTGGCCTTAACCTGCCGGCACGATTTGGAATTAATCCATGGTTTGTCATGAAGCGAGCTGTAGCACATCACAATGCAACAGTCTCATGGGAATCAGCGGACAACTCACAGAAGGTAAGCTTTTCTTTTGTCGCTTCATCCAATCAAAGACCAATCAGTTGATTATCTTCATTGTCTCTCATAACAGATTGCCTATGAATTGCTCCTCATCAAACTTTGTAGAAGTCCAAAATTGATTACATGGAATTTGACTCCAACCCATCAGGTTTGTCAACTTTTACATTTCGTGGTTTTCTACTTCAAGTTTCTGACATTTTTGATATTCAATAGTCTGAAGTCTCAGAAGAAAAATCAACCAAATCTTCCGCTTATGTTCCACTACCTACTCAAAGAAAGCGTCCCGTTCGTCGACAAAGACTTCCAAAAATCTTGATCTCTGAAGAAGATAACAATTTGGATATCGCTTTGGTCACAAAAGTTGATTCTGAATCAAATTTAATCAAACCAACAACTTCTTTTATTCCACTCACTGAGGATCAGTCTGAAAACTTTCATATCTTCAACGAGTTACTCGCCGAACACAACATTTTGGCAATCTCAACCCCTTCACTTTCTACCTCTGAGTCTCCCTTGACCATCCCAAACTTCTCTCGAGCAACAAAAAGATCACATTCAAAATCACAACTTTTTGGTGCACCAGTTTCAAAGAAATCAAAACCAACACTTCATTGGACTGAAATATTAGATGATTTAATGACAGCGTCTGATTGGGCAGAAGCAGAAGTAGAGTTGCAGAAAGAAAACGAACCAACAGTCAATACAAGTTCAATCGATCAAACCCTTTCTTTTATCCCACTCACTGAAGACCAATCCGAAAACTTTCATATCTACAACGAGTTACTTGCCGAACTCAACACATCTGAAATCTCGACCCCTTCACTTTTGAACTCCAAACTACCCTCGATCACTCATAACTCACAAGTTTTCACCACTCAGTCACCAATTTCAAAGGAATCAAAACCAACACTCCATTGGACTGAAATCTTAGACAACTTAATGACGGCTTCTGATTGGGAGGAAGCGGAAGAAGAGTTACAACAAGAAACTGATAAAGCGGGATCAATCGAGTTCATGCCTCTTACTTCAGTAGAGTCTTCTAATTTTGATATCTTCAATGAGTTGATCCTTGAACATCAGATTTTAGAGACTGTAAAATCCTCTACTTCTACACTGGCTACTGTCACATCCTCATCATCTCTCAACACGGCCACTTCTTCGAATTCAAAACCTTTAAAATGTAGCTCAAAGAATTTCGAAGATACCAAAAGACAACTTCATTGGTCTGAAATCTTAGATAATCTTATGACCGATGAAGATCGAAAAGAAGCAGATGAATCTTTTGGTATCACTCTTCCTCTCCATCAAGAAAGGCCACTGGACTTTGCTACGGTCGATGAAACTTATTCTCTCCCATCTACACCCTCTTCAAATATTCGTTCATCTTATTCAAGCGCTCAGAATACTAATTCTCTACCAACACCAGTAGAAGAACTTCAAGATCCGTTTGGTTTAATTGACAATACTTGTCAGAAGTCTCCTTATTCCACAGATATGAGTTTTGAGGTTATGAAATCTTCTTTAGAACAAAATGATCATTTTTTAACAGATCTTAGTTTTAATATTGAAAAATCTATCTTAAATCTTGATCTCGATTTTGAAAATTCTTTCTGTTGATTACTCGACAGAAGAATTGATAGATAGAAATCTTTTTTGAAAACTTTAGAATAAAATGTTTTATATAATTTCGTACTATCTGGCCTGATTTTTCCTATTTTTCTCTTTTTTCTCTTTTTTCTCTTTTTTCTCTTTTTTCTTTTTTCTCCAGTTGTTTCTTTCTTATTTGTGATTTGTAATGAAGCAATTGACATCATCCATATAATTGAGATTGAGGGAGAATTGAGAGAGAAAGAGAGAAGAACTGTGATGCAGTCTAGCGGCGCGGCCTGAGGGCGGCCCATCCGTCTGCAGTGATGGGCTGTCTTTTGATGGCCCTCCAGCTCAGACCTGATCAGACACCTACCAGATATCTTTCAGAATCGTCGCATAGGTACCCACAGTCCAGCCGCAAGCCCATAAACACGCTGTCTTATGACCGTCTGCCAAATATTCTCCGCAGGGCAGCCCGAGCAATAAATAATACATACCTTTTGTCAATAGGGCGATTCAAGTAGACGTTTTACAGCGCTTTTTTAAGTTTTACGATTTATCCGCAACCTTATAATTTTAACTTTATTTATAAGTGAGTGATCCACCTTTAAAGGTGGTTCACCCTTTTGCGGTCACTTAATCAACCTTAAAATTTTTAAGCATTGTCCCTAAAACCAGGGCAAAAAATAGTCAAACCATTGGGAAAAAAAGTTTCCATCACGATTTTTTTTCCTCAGTGTGTACCTGGATATAACCGTCCTTCAGAAAAAAAACATTGTCGTTTTTCTTTTTTTTGCTTCGTCTCTTTCATTAACAGATTTGTTTGAACAAGCAAACAAATTAACCGTCCAACTCCAGAGTCACATGGGACCCGGTTTATCCCCAGATGCGGTCCGGTCTTGATCGGGATCATCTCATCCTCCTTTCATATCTTATTTTCATATCGATTCAGCACTGGCCCACTTCCCACTTCTCCCTCAAGCTCAGAACGTTCTTCTTCTTGGAGCAACCTTTCAGTATCTTTCGAATCTCTTTTTTAATCATCATCATTTGAATTGAGTCGATTCTCTCTTTTGCAATCATTTTGGTCTTCCTTATCGTATCTTGCGTATCGTATACTCCATTTTTGGGCATCTTTGACATGGCACCACAATCCCAACCAACTGGAAAGGTGTGTGTGTCATTATGTAGACTTCCTAGGCTATTGTGCCATCAGCTGACCAACTTGTTCCGTTCTTTTGCAGGGCCCACGCAGGGCTCGTCGAACCAAGGCCCAGATCGAAGAGGACCTCGTGGCTTCTGGTTTGGCAGCAGGGTCTAAGCCTACCCCATCCGCGATCAGGCGATCCCGCCTAGCGTCACAGCGTCCTCGTTCCGTTTCAGTGGCCAACGCCGGTTCCAAAGCGACTAGAGACAGTCCGAGTCTTGATCTGGTCGATTATCAAACAATCATTTCGTACCTCTCCAAACCGAAAATCCGCAATGCGCTTTTTGGCGGTGGCAGCCATACCAGGGTGTCCGGCCTACCGATGAACCCTAGGACGTTGTTGAACCCTCTCGCCATCAAACTGAATAATAACTACAACATACGCCACGACACGACCAACATGCGGCTCAACGGGCGACTTCTATACCAGCGCCTCAAACGATACAAAGCAAAGTACGCCGCAGCCAAGAATTTCAGCCTGAAGACGGGTAGTGGCCTGTCGGCTAAAAATGTTGCCGATGGAATCCACACAATGGAAGACTTGCTGGAATCGATGTGCCCGTTTTACTCTGAGATGGACTGTCTGTTTCGTGACAAAAGAAACGTAACTCCTTTTGGCATCCTGGACAGCGGACTCGGCCCAAAATCCTCTGACAATGACAGTGACGAAGGTGATCCCGATATCATTGATATCAGTGGCCATGCAGATACCGACGGTGACACAACCGATGGTCATGATCATGCATTCGCATCACACCCTCAAAAATTGACGTTGGAAACTGCTGGTCAGTGTTTGTTTCTTGAGAGCCCTACTAGTTTTATTCGTTTCAACTTACCAAGTTCTTCAACAGCCGAGTCTCCCAATTCCCAAACGGCTTCGCCCATATCCAATCGTAACCAAACTGCTTCCGAAATGCTTAACCAACACTACCATCGATTTCTGAATGACGATTTCACTTCGCCACCGCCAACGCCGCAAGAAGAGACTGCCGACCTGGTCGTAGAAAAACCTGCTCCTCGCAATCCCTCTGGGGTCGCGGTGACTGCTGAGAAACCCTCAAATCAGCCAGGCAAAAAAAGAGCAATTACACCTGAACACCAGGCCTTGGATCCCGATTCTGACAAGGGAGTCATTGAGAGGGCGACCCACCGGACTCAAACATTGGCCCGCAGGCCAGCAAAGAAACGTCTAGCTATAGCTCCTGCAGTCGTTCCTCTCAGCTCTGACACCAAAGCGAAGACAACGACCACAATCACCCGTCCAATTACCCGTCCAGCCAAAACGTATACACCCAGAGAAGCAAAGATGCTTGCGGGTCTGGCAGCCGAAGAACTGGCTTTGGATTGCAGCTCTGACGAAGAAGGCATCATACCAAGTGCAACGCCTGCCAACAACGCCCGCGGCGCCTCTCGAGGGACTCTCTCGCGTCGCGCTTTGAACCCGTTGCCTTCTATTGATCCATTGACGGTTCATAGCAAGGAACAGAAACATGCGCTTGCGAACGCCTTGCTTCAAGGTAATGAGGCGCGAATTCAAATGCTAACTGAATCCAACAAATGGAGACAGCAATTTGAAGCGGACCGAATGACAGCGGAAGCTGACGCTCGCACCTCAGCGCTCACTTGGGACAAAGAAAGATATTTTCTTGACCGTCAAGAGCAACGCGACATTCAAACTCGGCAATTGGCACAAGAGGCTCAAAAGGAACGAAAGGCGTTTTGTCAACGGTTGGTCATGGAGGGCAAGTCTCCTCAGGAACTGGCGGTGTACCTTCGCCTGGTGTATGAGAAAGTCTTGGAACACGGTCTGAGCGGGAAAAACAAATATGTTCAGAGTCCTATCTTGGGTCTGATAAAGATAACAACTAAGAACATAAGAAATTAATCATGAGTCAGAGAAAAACAAATATGTTCAGAGTCCTATCTTGGGTCTGATAAAGATAACAAAGTCTTCTTTTCATTGATGGGGAAATAAGTACCTGAGCGGGAAAAACAAATATGTTCAGAGTCCTATCTTGGGTCTGATAAAGATAACAACTAAGAACATAAGAAATTAATCATGAGTCAGAGAAGGTCACAAAGATAAAGAATAAAGAATAGAGAAATCAGTCACTCACAGTCTTCTTTTCATTGATGGGGAAAAGAAGACTGATGAATGATAAATCAATGTTATATATATATGTAGAAAGGTTGGGGTAGATGTGCTATAAGCATAATCTAGGGAAAGTATGCTTGTGTCGATTGAATCTCAACACCCTCCCTCAATCGACACAATTGAACACTTGGAACACGGTTCAGATAAAACTGACTGATTGTAAAAGAATAAAAAAATTGAATAAATCTAAAATCTGAAATCTAAAATTGAATAAATCTAAATTTGGATAGAAAGATATTGAATGAATGACTGAGGATCAATGGAATGAATGAGAATCAATGGAATGAAGATAGCTGGGTTCTGGGTTCTGGGTTCTGGGTTCTGAGTTCTGAGTTCTGGGTTCTGATTTCTGATTTCTGATTTCTGAGTCTGAATTCTAGGTTTTTTTTTTAAGTTCAAGTCTTATGGTTTGAATTATTGATGACTACGCGTTCATTCTGTTGAACAAAGCTTCGAGCTCGGCGATGGTTGGTTCAGAGGCAAAAAATGCACTTGCTGCGGTGGGTCGATCTTCCCATTTGCCTGATTTCTTCTTTTGCTCAACCCATTCGTTGTATTTAGCTTCATTACCTGGTCTTTTGAAACATTCTTCAGCGGTATGTTTTTTAGCTCTAGTGTAACCATAACAGTTTGTAGGAGTGCATTGTGAGAAAGATGCTACACTCGCTTCGGGTGAGTATGTGACTATTGGCGATGATTTGTGCTCGGTGATACCGAGCAGCGCTTTGTCATTCAAGTATCGTCCTAATTCTGCAATCACTTCGTCGTATTTTACAATCTTTGCTTTTAAAACATCACGCGCATCTTTGAGTCGATATTGATTTAGAGATCCGAGTAGTTTCCTTCCTAATTCAGCATCTTCTATCTTTCCACCTGAATGTTTGTAACGTACAACTAATGAATTGTATGAGTTTAAGTAATTGCTCAAACTTTCTTCGTTTCCTTGCTTCATGATATCAAGTGTATTCTTTAATAACAACTGAACCTCTGCTGATCGATCTACATAATATTGGTCAATACTCTTCCATAGTTTACTTGGTAAGTCTTCAACAGTCGATCCTGTAGGAGTGTAGACTGTGATTTTGTCTCGGAATCGAATCTCGTTCTCTTCATCCATGTTTGATAACATCCATGAAACGAGACAGCTTCGGATAATTCCATTTGATGTCTTGGTTGCTGAGTCTGAACCTTTTGAGTCTATATCTGATTCTAATAGTTCAATGATCTGAAGTGATTTGACAGAAGTTTGTATCTTGCTGAGCCATAATAAAGCATTTTCCTTTGTTAGTGGTTTGGCAGGAGAAACTCGGCTGAGAGTCAAGCTCCATGCTGCAGCTTGATCTCTTGGTGATATGCTTGGTGGCAAAGGTCTAGTAGTTTCTGTTGATGATGAAGACATGACTGTGATTTGTAATTATCTGTGAATATGATTGATATGAAGATTTGAGATCAGACAATATGTGATTAACTGTTGACCGTTGATTGAATTGAATGAATTAGAGCTGAGATCAATTGAGGACCGTATAATGTGTTGGTTTGTTATGTAGGTTGACTGATCGTTACACTACTCTCGCTACCATGAGAAAGTCTTGGAACACGGTCTGAGCGGGAAAAACAAATATGTTCAGAGTCCTATCTTGGGTCTGATAAAGATAACAAAGTCTTCTTTTCATTGATGGGGAAATAAGTACCTGAGCGGGAAAAACAAATATGTTCAGAGTCCTATCTTGGGTCTGATAAAGATAACAACTAAGAACATAAGAAATTAATCATGAGTCAGAGAAGGTCACAAAGATAAAGAATAAAGAATAGAGAAATCAGTCACTCACAGTCTTCTTTTCATTGATGGGGAAAAGAAGACTGATGAATGATAAATCAATGTTATATATATATGTAGAAAGGTTGGGGTAGATGTGCTATAAGCATAATCTAGGGAAAGTATGCTTGTGTCGATTGAATCTCAACAGTGTATCCCGAAGAACAAGCTTAGTACCCTTTGGCTTTTGTAAGTATAGTTGTCCATGTGTTTGCAAGGGTTTTGCGATTATGGTACTGACTTCGTCTCCATGTTGCTTGATTGCTTATAGGTTGTGCACCTTTTGTTTTCTCGAATTCGTCCATTTTCTTTGTCGATTTTCTTTATCAGAACGCTTGAATTTCTTTATTTAAACTCTTTCTGTGATAGCTTTGTGATAGTACAGTCTGGCGCGTGCTTTGTGATAGTACAGTCTGGCGCGTTTTCCAAATTTCTTACCTCCTGCGATGTGTGCTGCTTTGTGTGTTGTTCGAAAGTGTGTTCCCTTAGTTTTAAACTTGTCCAACTGTACATGAGAAGTAATGACAAAGGCCAAAGGCACTCTATTCTGTTTGAAGACTTGAAGCGTGAGGGGCCCCCTGGTCCCATTGTGGACCTTTACGGTGTATGCGAGAATCTCATACACCGTAATCTCTTCAAGTGTGTGGTCTATTTTGAAGAAGTTTTACGTTGTTAATTTTCTGCAGTCACTAACGTAACACATGTCACATGTTCTCTCGCAAGGAGCTCAACTGGACAAACTCAGGCAAAAAGAGTCGACAAACATTGAAAACTTTTGCAAAACTTCACAGATAGGTGAAAGCAAACCAAGACAAAAATTTGCTTCAAACAAAATCGAACAAAGGCTTGAGAACGAGAACACAAATGCTTCAGACAAAGAACAAATAAACATTTGATAACGAGACAAGAAACAATGACTACATAAACAAAAAGGTAACTGAACAAAACGATCAGCGAGAGAAAGATACGAGGTTCAAGAAGAAGAGTACAGATTCCAACGTGGATTACCAAAGAGCTAAACAGAAGATGAAAAATCATGATACAATTGGTAGGCCACCGCTTTGCCAGTTGTAAGCGACCGCGTGGTCTCTAACACTTTCTCGTTTAGCCCGTCCTCTTTCAATTCCCGCAGGATCAGCATAGACTCCCCCACGTAATCTTCCTGCTTCCCCTGGTTCCCTCAGCACAAGATTATCTTCTTCCTCTTCCCAAGTGTTTCCAGGGTCTGCTAGCATATTGTGTAAGATAATGCAACAGCGGATCCACCGGAGGATGTTAAACATATCACCCCGACTATTCAACGCCAATCTTAAGCCTTGGAGTGAGGCCCAACGAGACTTTAGAATTCCGATACAGTGCTCGTTGCGCACTCTGGCCTTTGCAACACACCAATTGAAGTCTTTGTTTCTCTCGACCTCGGCAGCCTGGCCCTTGTATGAAGGCACAATGGTTTCGGAAGGTATGTACACGGAATCCGCAATTATGTATTCACCTAAATGAAAAAAATAGTTAGATATTTGGACATTAACCCACCGTCAAGAACAAATAGGACATACCACGATCAAAGTATATCATCGGCTGATTGGCAATCTCCGTCTTTGAATAGACGGTGCTGTCACAGCACGAACCGGGCCACCCAGCGTAAGCGTAGGTAATTCTGCGATCGCAGTCACATACAACCTGGACATTGATGGAGTACCCATGTTTTCGGTCGAAGAACACCTCCCCGTCACGGCCAGGTCGTTGGAAGAGAGGCACAGTTGTTCCGTCTACAAAACCCACACAACCAGGGAAACCGTCACGCTCCATAACTTTCGAAATTGCTTTCCTTCTGATTGAGTTTGGCCATGCGAGATAGTGGTCTCCCGCGTCCAAGATCGCCGAGATCACTCGGCGCGTGCAGTTAATAACAGAGCCTCTTCCCACTTTATAATTACGGGCGAAACGACCGACGGAGGCGCCGTTCCCGTTGCTTCCGAGTCGCTCCAGGGTAATGGCGAGTTGTTTGTCTACTGGAGGCTGAGCATTGTTGCTAGAAGAAATGAAGATTGGGTTGAATTTGATGATATCAAGTAGGGCTTGAAACCCTTCGGGTGTAGTCCGCATTGCCTGGCGGAAATCGGTTTGTCGGTTTCGTAACATATCGCCTAGTGCAAAAGGCGTGGGAAGAGCATCACGTAGCCGACTGTGGAGATAGCGTCTTGAGGTAACATCGGCCAGCCACTGGCCCCATCGTTGTTCTTCATCGAAGAGATCATCATATAAGTCCGCCATGACTGGATCATCCTGGAAAAGAAGGTTGCCCTCGGTTGGATTTTCGGAATCGAGAGGTTGTCCAGGCAATCTGACGTGGGCTTCCATGTGGGCCACGACACACAGGTTGGTCAGGTCTCTGATAGCCAAAACCCTTTCTGAAACGCGGGGCATAGTAAAAAAGGCAGTCGGGGTTTGAAGTTATCGATTGTCACGTTGATGAAAGAAATTTGCAGCTGCAGCAAGAAGGAAATGAGGGGATTACTCGTTGGATGTGGATCTGCCACTCTCGCCATCTGCTCAAATACCCCTGCGACTGGAAAAGAGCGCCAATAAAGAAACAAAATGAAAAGGCGTTGGAAGTTGCAACCAACAAAAAAACGAATGGGCATCAGGAACAAACGCCTCGATGCCCACAAAGAGAGGAAAAAAAACCCGTTTGTAAAACCTGGCCCTGATTTTACGTGACTTAAAATCCATATTTTAGAGCATCTGTGATGGTGCGGATGACGAATTTAACATGCATACGACCTTGAAAAACAGTTCGGTACTTTGCGGCGCGAGTGTTTGCAACTTTCTACTTGAATCGCCCTAATATAGTCCAAAATGTCTTTAAATCTTTTATGAATTTTTTATCTTTGATTGAATAGAGAACAAAGAAGAGTTGAAAAGGTTCAAAACTCGATAAAACTACAAAGTAACTTGTTTTTTCTCAAAAATCTACTTCATCTTTCTCTTTCAAAACAAGCTTCTTTCTTAGCCAATGAATACCCATCTAATAATCTTTTTTTGATAACTTCGAAATCAATGGCTTCAATCGTCTCCCCTATCTCTTGAACCTCATTTTCTTCAAACCCAGCTGAAACTAATAGTCTACCAAAATCTTCATATGCAGCTGGTGCACTATAGAAACAAAACATAGCAATCGTTGAAAAAATTAAACCTCTTAATTTGTAGAAAACAGAAAGAAGAAGACTTATACTAGAACAGTATCGACTAGAAAAGATTCAAACACAGGTTTAAAAGCTGCTTTAAAAAACCTTGTGTCAACTGTCTTTCTTTCAATCATTGTTTCTACCGATTCATTTATTAATTTGAATTGAATCATATCCATCTCCATGAATTCTTCAATCAATTCCCTAGTACATTCCATATATCTTTGACGTAGTGATCCTTCAGACAAAGCTACTCCTTCTTCTATTGATTCCACGTTAAATATTGATCATCAGAAGTTTGAGGAGCCTAATCCGAAAGAACAAACAAACAAGATAAGCAAAGTTGGAACGGTCTCAGTCCAATCATTTGTAAGAAAAATTTGCACCTCTTTGTGAATTTGTGCGATGAGTTTTGGTCCAGCCGCAACATTACGTCAGACCCAATGATTATTACGTGCATCAATGACATCCTAAATAACAAATTATCAAGGAAAAAGTCAATCCTCAGAAACCGAAGCAATCAAGTGGTCTCCAAACCAAATAACTGACTTGAATCATAAATCTAGCTCTAGAAGTTAGATTCTTACTCTGTGCCATGTTAGTCATCCTAGTGAAATATACATTCACATGACTATTGGCTTTTTCATGATCCAACATCTTTCCAACTGTCATCATCAATCTACAAAGTGATTCAATGTCTTCTTCTTCTGGATTCTCGATATTCGATAACAATTTCTTAACACATTCATGCATAATCCTTTCTGTTAACATGTTCAATTTGAACAATTCTCCAATAAATCGAACTAATCCTAATCCTTGTCGTTTGGCTTTTTGAGCTGCATAATATTCATCTGATAAGATTTCGGCTTCTTTGGTAGTTTCTTTTCCTACTGCTTCGGCCTCTGCTTTTGATTTTTCATTTGCTGCTTGTTTAACTGCATCATCTGCTGCTTTACCTGCAGCTGCCAACTTATATCGCTTACTCCACCCTCGTTCATAATCTTCTTGACATCGACTCATAAGGTATTTCCTAAACAGATGACCACCATGTACTTTATTACCAGCCGTATCAAGTACATTCTCATCCTTTACTTCAGGTGAAAGTTTCTCCATTAATTTACAACATAACTTGGCGTACATTTCTGACCAGTGTGCTTCATCAACATGGTGCTCAAAAATTAACGCAACCACTTGTTTAAGAATCCTTCCATCATTCTCCTTTTTAGATTTGTTAGCCCAATCAATCACTTGATCTGAGATCGAATCAAAGTTATCGCGCGTGAGCTTATTGAGTAAAGCTCGGACTTTTCGATTGACCATCTCAGGTGAGTCCTCTTTGAAATGATTCGACCGAGCAGCTGACCAGCTATCAGCCGATGATTGCAAAGGCTGTACCACTTCACTCGGAACCCTTTGATGCATCTGCGTTCCTCGGTTCATATTACAAGCAGGAGCGTTGCTAGACATAGCAGAACCACCGTCTTGTCGAGTAGTAAGACTCCCGGATACTGAAAGGAGAAGCAGCGAATGCTCGAGTTCCTCAAAAAGCTTTCGAGCTTCTGATACATGATCCGCCGGTAATGAAACCTCCAAAGTAGCTAAATACTGCTTGCAGCGCGCTTCAGGCCAAGCTTCCCTTATACTATCAAGCTTATATGTTGCGAGAGTCGGAAAGTTTCCTGGTCGCTCTTCTTGAGCGGGAAGGGACCGATTAACACGGGAGGTATCAGATGGTTGTTGAGAGGATGTCCCATCACGACGAGACGTGTCTTCGCGTCTCTGATGTCGTGACTCACCGGTTTCTAGTTCGTCTGGAACACTGTCATCTTCACCGTGTCGGTATTTCTTCTGGTTATGACAAGTTGAGGAAGTCTTTTCCGTCGGGTCATGGTTGACAATTGTCGTGGTTTGAGACCTAGTTGCCTCAAGTTGAGAGACTTGGGATTGGTCGCGAGTGAAGCTAACTATGCAAGCCATTAAGCTTGAAGTGAGGTTCAAGGGTATAATATAGGAAGGCGATGTGAGATTTTGAACTTGACTTCAAGATCATGAGGGACAAAGGGTAGCGGATATCAAAGATAAGAATCCTCTCCATGCATGATAATGTCACGGATTTGGCGATCGCTCTGTGACTTTGTTGTGATTTCCCCCCTACATAGCCCTACATACAGCCTATTGCGAGAACCAAACACGTGAAAGGTCTGGACCTTATGTGGAAATGACCTGCAAGGATGTCAAATCGTAGGGAGTGCCTACGACTCAAGCAATTCGCCACTCAACAGTTTTAAGCTTCTTTTCAAAATGATAAAAAAGGGTGGTGATGGGACTCAACGGCCAGCTGTCCAAATTGACTGAATTGAAACTGTCCTTTTTTGGGCCTGCACTTTGCTCAAACCCTATGGCCCACGTAGGTTTAACTTTGGGTGACAAAGAAGATTTTGAAAGGATCCTAAATAATCCCCTGGCCCCAAAAATTCCCTTTTTGGTCACACCTTGAAACAAAAAAGAAGGGCTGTTGGACCACGTATAAGTGCCAAATATGTATGTACATATAGCATTCTATTCCCCTTTGTCAGGCCTGGGTTTGTAGATTTGATCTATTGCTAGCAGTATTTACAACACATGAAGCATAAACACATATGATTAATCATGAAAGTCCCCAAGTCTTGTTCAGAATTTCACAAGGGGTCACTTAGGTAAACTAGTCACAACAAAGTGCCTGTGGAAGAGAACACTTTTGGACCCGAGGCACAAGAGATCTTGTTTGATAAAAAGAGAGCTTTATCTGCTCATGTTGATGTGAAAGCTTGAAACAGACATGGTGAGTCTTAGTCAGAAATTCCCCTGTTGTTGGACTGTGATTTCAACTTTGCTAATTCATCATAGTAGGGTTCAACCAACTTGTCAACATCAACAGAACCAAGCATGTTGCCTATCATCATATGGCTGGTGGAATCATACATCAACCATTGCCTATGTCATCTGAATTTTGAACCTATAGACAGCTCAAAAGCATATACTACATCAGTAGTATCCAAGGGAGAATATGACAACACATTGGATGTCTTCTGGTTTGCTGTCACAAAATAATAATATGTTTTCCATGAGTTTATAGCAAGTATCTATATGCATGAGTGAATAGTAAAGTTCAGGATGGTTTGCAATTTCTGGAAGATCAAGATTTGGTGTAAGCCAGTAGATCTGGGTCTGTGTATCAGAGCATAAATGGAGCATCCAGAGTTGATAGGTCAAGTCATTGGATTGGTTAAATAGATAACTAGGGATTACTCAAAATTCACAACAGTCACTGTGTCCTTGTGGCAGTTGCCCAACAACAAGCGCACACGGACTGCCTTTGAGGCACAAAGGCAACTTGTGTGCGCTCATCATGAACAGGTGAACACCACATGGACATGATGAGTGAATTGTTAACAACAGGGGACATTTACACAACCTTGAGTGACAGCCAATCTTGCAAAGCTTGCACAACCAATAATTGTAAACCAAAACAAGGAGTCAAGATTTGATGTGAATTAGCTCACCTGGCTCTGAAAAACATCAATTAATAATCAGTCATAGACTCCCTAAAGAGCCATTTATGTGTGTAGCAAGGTTGAGAATATTATAATATTATCATTGCTTCACATACTCTTTTCATCACCTTTACACCTTTTAGCTTTGGCTTAGATACCGTTTAACACTACATTTTATTGTTAGAGGATACTTCCATCCTTGCTCATCCACTTATGGAATAGCAAGATGTCTACTCTTTATTTCCTGGTGGTGAAGGAATGCACCAGGATTATAAAAGTTTACTCAATTTATCTCCAGATGACAATATCATTCAAACTGAAGATGCAATGTCATCACAAGCTTCATGTGCACTTCTTGTATTTATACCATTACACAAAACAGCTTTGATCTTGTTTCAACCGTCTATTGTTTATGAAGACTTGTACAGGAATGTTCTTTATTCATTTTGGGTCAGCTTTATTAAAGATTTGTTGCTGTATCATAAGTGTCTCTCATTGTCTCCCATTGGTTTCAAAAGGCATGGTCTCACATTTGTTTGTCCATATTGTTGTACAATACCCCTTATTACCTAAATATTTGTACAATACCCCTTATTACCTAAATATTTGTACTTTGTAGAGATGGACACCCATGATACTAATAGGTGCCCTCTCCTTGGGTCAGGCATGCCACCTCAAGCAGCTTCTCAATAGATTCATGTTGAGATTGAATCACCACAAAATATACTGTTACATTTGCCCCAGTGTTGTAATATGCTATAGTCATGTTTATCTCAATCAACTTTCATTAAAATACCTTCTCTATGCTCACCTGTCTCCTTTCTTCATCTGCTGAAAGGAGACCATAAGAATAACTCATTTTTTTCTTCCCTCCCTATTCTTTCTTGTTAACAACGCATATGAAACTCATCATGACACACCTAATTTGTTCTTTTTTCTTGTGCAGTTTCTGTAACCAGATATCAGATCCAAATCCAGACCCATAATTACATTTTTGTTCCAAACTTAGCAGGTGACCTTGTTCCCAAACTTTCTCAATTCACCACACTGGATCCCTCTTGAGCATAACATATATGTGCACCTCCTGCACTATCTTCATGATTTAGGTTGTCACCAAGGCGTGCGCATTCAAGCTTTTGCCATTCCTTTTGACTACATCACATGTAAATTGTAATTTTATACATTCAATTCAAACGTGATATGTTTTAAAAGGATGTGTTTGTGGAATGTTTTCTCTGTGTCCCGCCGCACTTTTGTGGCCTCTATTCTACATGTCAATTTTTTTTATTTTGTGATTTCCTACATGGAGTGTTGTACTATTACAGTCATCAATTTCCAAACCCTACAATATGTGCGCATGAAATTCACATCATTTTGCTTTTCATTAGGTCAGCATTGCTCTCCAAATCATATCTTCAACCTTCTGCCTTTTTCAAATGTCTGTCCAGATTCACGTGTATCATCTCTTTACATCTTTTACTCTACCATACTTTCATGCTCCTCCTTGTTCCTGTTTTTCTCAAACCCTACAATTTTCCCATCCTGCTGACTGGAACTTGCTTTTCTTCTTCCTTTTGAAACAGAGAAGCCTTCATTTTATTACTACATATTGAATTTGTTTTGGAATCATTTGTTCTTTTTACATCTCTTCTAATAACATTTTATCTTGTAAATCAGATCTTGTACTGCACTATGTGTTTTGAAAATCTCCTTACATTAAGACATACTTAATCCTTTTCTTGGTAGTACAATGCTATGGTATCACCATCCTTTGATGAGCAAGTTGTTCCCTATCCATCTCCAATGCAACATTTAATTCTGGCCAAATCAACCTCACATTCCCATCTTACAAACTTCTCCCTTCCATCTATCCTTTCACCCAGATTGCAGTAATAGTCATACAATACGGTGTTGGTCCCTTTCACCACCCCACAAATTATAAAACTCAATGATAACTTACATGGTTATGCTCCCTTGACCAATCCATTGTTGAACTTCAAGCTTTACATCAACAAGAAACATTTTCTACTCAATGGGTTGTTTTGTGAGTTATGACAATAAACATATCAGCTTATTTTATCATACACCTCATCTCATCCTCAACACATTTTCCCCCGTCTTAGCTTAAAGTGAATTGTAAAAACCATCTGCTTCTGATGATGAGTGAGCATTTATGCATGTATGGCTATGAGAGTGGTTCAGCATGATACATTATGAAGGGTCTCATATCTATGGCATCAAAGAAGAGTTCTCCTGAAAGGAAATACCCATCATACAAGATTTATTGGACACCCATGGTGTATGATGCTATGAAGAGTATGATAAAAATCCAGACTGTATTTTTGATCATAGTATATTTACATAGTATGATATAAAAGTACTACCATTCCATTTAATTATACATGTGTTGAACATCAAGAAAAAATTGAAAAGTTCAAATTGGATTTACAAAACTTCAGCAAAGACAATATTTTTTGGGTTTCCAATCATAAACTTTGTGAAGTTTGTAATCTTCTTTATGTGTGTGTATGTAGTCAAAATACTTGCTCCTTTTTCTCAACCTCCAACATATAATGAAACAGTTGTGGTAATCAAAAAACACAATGTACCATACACTTACTTTATTTATTCAAATCTTTTTTTCAACTCACAAAAGTTCTCATCTTGACCTTCCAAAAACCTCAAAACCAAACAAAAAGAAGAAATATATATATTGTGTATATATATTGTTAAAATATATTGGTTTATTTAAAAAAATTGGTTTCATAAAAAGAAAAAGATGTTAAAAACCAAAAAAAAAGAAACTATTATAAAAAAAGACCCATTTTTGTAAACTTTGACTTCATAAAACCTTTCTCCTTTTTTTAAAAATCATCACAAAACACAAAAACCAACTAAAAAACTAAACTAAAGTAAACCAAATAATCAAAAGGAAAAAACAAAAAAGGTAATAAAAAAAAGAATAAAAAAAAACAATATTTCAAAAACAGTTTCTTCTAAAAAAAAGAACCTCCCAATTATATAGAATCAACTTGATTTTTTTGTTAAAAAAGATTCAACTCTTCACTTCATCCCAAAAATAATCCCCCAATTTCAAACTTCTTCCTCCCCTCTTCTTCCTAATTCATGCTTCTTTCTTAGCCAAAAGAAACCCATCAACTAATCTTTTCTTAGCCACTTCTAAATCCATAGCTTCAATCTTCTCTCCCATCACTTTAACCTCACTTTCTTCAAACCCAATCGAAGATAATAATCTACCAGCAAATTCATATGCTGATGGAGCACTACAGACGAAAAAACAAACGAAATTAGAAAAAAAACAGTCAATCATCAAGATTAACATCTTCGAAAGAAAGAAAAGACTTACTCTACAACTGTATCATCTAAGAATTCAATCACCGGTTCAAAAGCCTTTTCAAAAACCGATTTCTTCACCCCTTTAAGTTCAATTAACCTTTTAAACAAATCACAAGTCAATTTCACTTGAACCAATTTCATTTCCATTGATTTCTCAATCAATCCTCGAATCAATTCAAAATATCTTTTAGTAGGCAATCCTTCAAATGAGGCTACTCCTTCTTCTATCGATTTCACATTAAAGAATTCATCTATTCTGGTTTTAACTAATCTTTTAGCTGTTGAATCATCTATATCTTCTTCTTCTTCCTTACTTTCTTCTTCTGTTGTTTTACCTTTGCTTGTTGTGGTGGATGTTTCTTCTTCTTCAGATTTGCCAGGTAATGGTAATGTTCTAGGGGCTAAATTCAATCGTGGTCGACTAGTAGGTGCCATTTCAGATACACTTTGTTTTTTAACTAATCCAGATCCAGTATTTGTACTACTTTCTCCTGTATCAGCTCCAAGTAATGCAAATGGATTCAATGCTACTGCAACTGTTGGATCTCGTTCTGTACTTGCTTTTCCGTCTTTCCCTTTTCCTTTATTCGCAAATACACTTGAGGGTCCAAATGTCATTCGACCCGAAGATGATGTATCTCGTAGTTTACCAAAGTGAGTCACTAAAGAAGATTCAAATAGAAAAGTAAGAATCTATACAAAACAAAAACTCTGAAATCAAAAACGAAATCCGAAACTCACAATCACCGGCTTTAGAAGGCCTTGGAGGAGGTGCAACATTTCCAACCGATGACCAACCATCAGCCGAAGTAGTATTCCCAAACTGATCTCGACTTCTACCACCACGACTACCACCTCTAGAAAGATCATTCATCTTTGACATATTCTGTTTAGCTTGAGCTTGTCTAGATTGTTCAGCAGCAGCTTGAGCAGCCTAGAATGAAAAAATCGGTTAAAATCAAGAAATCAAAAAAAGGTTAACTTCTGATGTAGAATTTCTTACCTCTTCATGAATTTGTGAGATGAGCTTCGGTCCAGCCGCAACGTTACGTCCGACCCAATGATTGCTACGTGTATCAATGACATCCTATAGAAACAGGTCAAATTTAGAGAGAGAAAAATCAGTACTTGACAAATCAATTGATTTTTGTCCAAAGAAAATCTAATCACTAACCTGAATCATAAATCTAGCTCTAGAAGTTAGATTCTTACTTTGTGCCATGTTAGTCATCCTAGTGAAATATACATTCATATGACTATTAGCTTTTTCATGATCCAACATCTTTCCAACTGTCATCATCAATCTACAAAGTGATTCAATATCTTCTTCTTCTGGATTCTCAATATTCGATAACAATTTCTTAACACATTCATGCATAATCCTTTCTGTTAACATGTTCAATTTGAACAATTCTCCAATAAATCGAACTAATCCTAATCCTTGTCGTTTGGCTTTTTGAGCTGCATAATATTCATCTGATAAGATTTCGGCTTCTTTGGTAGTTTCTTTTCCTACTGCTTCGGCCTCTGCTCTTGATTTTTCATTTGCAGCTTGTTTAACCGCATCATCTGCTGCTTTACCTGCAGCTGCAGCTGCCAATTCATCTCGCTTGCTCCACCCTCGTTCATAATCTTCTTGACATCGATTAAGAAGGTATTTCCTAAACAGATGACCACCATGTACTTTATTACCAGCCGTATCAAGTACATTCTCATCCTTTACTTCAGGTGAAAGTTTCTCCATTAATTTTCGACATAACTTGGCATACATTTCTGACCAATGTGCTTCATCAGTAGCTTTTTCAAAAATTAATGCAATCACTTGTCTAAGAATCCTTCCATCGTTTTCCTTTTCAGATTTGTTTGCCCAATCAATCACTTGATCTGAAATCGATTCAAATTTATCTAATGTGAGTTTGTTGAGTAAAGCTCGGACTTTTCGATTGACCATTTCAGGTGAGTCCTCTTCGAGTTGATTTGATCGAGCAGTTGCCCAACTATTAGCAGATGATTGTAAAGGCTGTACCACTTCAGTAGGATACATTGACTGCATTTGCATTCCTCGGTTCATGTTACTAGAAGGAGCGTTGGTGGACATGGGAGGACCACCGTCCCGTCGAGTACCACGTCCACTCCGTCGGTTACCATCACGAGCCCCGTTGGTCATTATACCAGGAAGAGCATTAGCACTGGGTGTTCGAGACATTTGGCCAGTAGGCCTTCCGGGTAACAAGAGGCCACCTCCTATGCCTCCTATTGGGATAGCTCCCAAGATTGCACGGTTAGACTGACTGAAACGTTCTTCACTTGTTCGGTTGGTACCAGTAGCGAACATGGGCATTCCAGCGCCACCAGGACCGGCTCGATTAGGGATCCCACCAGGTCCCATCATACTTGACATTGAACCTCCAGATGGAGTTAGGGAACCTGATGGTCCTCGTCCACCAGGAGTCATCTGACCAGTATTCCTACGTTGGCCACCCATTGATTGAGTACGCGACATCGGATTCATTGAACCTGATTGTGAGTCGACCATTCCAATGGAATCCAGGTCAGGTAATTGGGTCGGTTTGCCTTTACAGACCTCCATAAACTGCAAGAGGAAAGCTCGATCGTATCGGAATTTGCCTGGTGCAGCCTCAGCGTTGAGATCAGGGTGAGGTGACTTGATATTCTCAGGGTAAGAAACTTGGCCTAGATCCTCGATTTTCCTAGCCGAGGACAAAGCTGACGGCAAAGGGCTCATCGTCTCACCAGTAGCGTTAACTTTCTGAGAAGGAACAGCATTGACATCGATGGGTGTCGGTCGTGTCTTGTTACCAGTGCTGGCTGGTAAAGAAACTCCGTTGACAGGTTTTGACGGAAGTCCAGATGAAGCAGTAGGCCCAGGGAGAGTGGATGTGGTTGCGGTTGATGACGAAGGCTCAGTTGGCTTGGAAGAGGTGGAAAGACTATCAGGCTTCGTCTGCGATGCAGATTGAGCTTCTGCAGCCGCCTTCACTACCTCGGCATCTTTCGCGTCTTTCGCCTTGGCTTGTTTCTCCATCAACTCCTTCTCACTTTGATCTGATTTGGCCTTTGCATCCTTTTCAGCTTGTTCCTTAGCCTCCCGATCGGCCTTCTCCTTGGCTTCTCGTTCAAGACGCTTCTGTTCTTCAACTTTACGTTGTTCTTCAAGTTCAGCCGCTGCCTTCTGCTCGGCCTCAACACGTTTCCTATTTCAGTGAGGGCAAAAATCAGTAATCTTCAATGATGAGATAAATAAGATGAACAACATACTTCTCAGTAGCTAGATCCGCTGCCTTCTTCGCTGCCAATTCCTGCTCCTTTTTATCAGCTTCAGCTGCAGCAGAGACTTTGCCAGCATCTGCTGATACCTTTTCCGTCTTGATGCTTGTAGTCTGATCAACTTTTGTTTCGGTTGATTTTTCAACGGGCTTGGGTTCAACAGGCGAGTCCGAAGCGGCAGGAGGATTTGCTAAAGTCGTCGGAGCGAGTGAGGCAGTGTTAGGTGTAGATGTCACAGATCCATCGTCCTGATTTGGCGTGCCGTCATGACTAAGCCCTGTAGGGGTGATCGGCTTTTTGATTTGAATTGCAGCACTCTTCCTAGGTTGGAAAGGTGGAGCAGCAGCATTTGGTGTTCGAGGCTTGAAGTCCGGTGAGACGGCAGACGGTGACGGGTTGAAGGGGTTCGCGTTGTAAGATAGCGAAGGTCCTCTTGAATGAGCCGCGCTAACAGGAGTAAAGGCAGGCGCCTGGGGCAGTGGAGCGGTAAACGTAGTAGTGGCGGGCGCGGGTGAGGTAGGAACGGCCAAATTAGGAGTAGCACCATGAGTTCGAGGAGGATGGGCAGGTAAAGGGGAAACGTTGATCGGCGGGACAGGCTGTGATGAAGGTGGACCGGGTGGATGGGTAACCTGAGGCGAGGCGTGCTGAGCGTGCGCAGGCGGAGCAAAGGAACCGGGTTGTGGGTATATAGGCATCCCATTATGATTATAAGCATAAGGTGGGTAACCAGGGCCAGGACCGGAGGGTGGATAAGGACCTTGTTGCCAATAAGGTCCATTCATACCGCCTTGACTATTGGGTGGATGTGGGTAAGGAGCGTTTGGAGTATTACTGGGTGGAGCACCAGAGGTAGCTGATCGAGGGCTAGGAGGTGCTTGCATCGGACCACGCTGTTGATGAGGCATGTTGGAGCGCCCGTTGGAAGGATACATTGAGCCAGAAGGAGCAGATTGATTTCCAGGCCCGTTCCGATGCTGGAATGTCGGAGGTTTTTGTAGAAATTGTGACTGATTATGACTATGCGGAGGAGCCATAGCACCATTAGGATGAGGATAGTTAGGCATGTTAGGATGAGGTGGTGCTCCGGTCATGTGATGTGGGCTATTAGGAGATGGTCCATTTTGCCAATGTGGTGGATTGGGACCATATTGATGTGGTGGCTGTGAAGGAGGTTGTGACATCGGTGGCTGGCCTTGACTGGGTGTAAAGGCCCGAGATGCGCCAGAAAGCGGAGAATGGAAGGAGCCCGAGTTCGCTCCATTCGGCATACCTAGATTAGTTGGACGAGGAGAAGCGGGAGGTAGATGAGGCTGGTTAGTTGAATCGAATGTGTTATTCCGACGGTTTTGAGTAGGATCCGGTCGATAAGACATTGAAGGAGATTGTGAAGATCCATTTGAGGGTGGTGGTGGTGGTGCAGGTTGAGGCGCAGTTTCTCCTCCTGTCTGAAAGAATGATTGAAAGTTGATTTTCTTCTTTTCACTCTTTGCTGCCGGTTCGACAACTGTGTTCGTGACACTAGGTTTAGACGCAGGAACAGAAGCTGAAGGAGGAACTGTGACTGCAGATGTAGTTGATGGTTTGTCGACCGTTTTTCGGGAATCTGTGGGCACAGAACCAAACACAGGCGGCCCTTTTCTCTCAGAAAGAGTCGGAGGATTTGCGGGAGAAGCCGATAAGATAGCTGCCGCATCCGATTTAGCTGGTAAATCGGCCAGTGAACCAAAAGCAATGGAGCTTGAGGCTATGGTGTCAAGGAACGGAAGATATGAGATAATGGTGAGTGATGGTCATAAGATGATCAAGAGTCGTTGTTGTAAACAAAAGACTTACAAGGCTTAACATTGTGAGCTTTGATGCCCGCTACGCTGGTTCGTCTGGACTCGGAGACAGAGACCGGTGTCTTGGCAGTAGCATTAGATGAGCCATTAATCGGACGCGAGGTAGTGGGCGAGACATCGATAGGCCGAGATGAAGGCTTGTTGTTATTTGAGGAAGGGGTTGGGTTTGAGGGAGAAGGATTAGAGCCAACAGCCGAAGCAAACGAGGAAGGTGAGGGTAATGGGTTTGGAGAGATCGGATTTGGAGGTCCAGCGGCTGTACGAATAGAACTTGCAGGCCGAGCAGCAGCAGCAGCAGCAGCGTAGTTGATAGTAGGTTTAGATGAGGCTGCCGAAGCAGGAACGTCGTTGGAAGCCGATGCGGACTGGTTTGCTGGTGTTGGTGTTGCGTTGGTTTTGCTCATTGGAGAAAGAAGAGGGGTGAGGGATGAGTGCGTGAGAGGGCAAGGTGAGCAAGAGGAATGAAGGACGAAAGCCTAGGAGACGAGGACTCTATCGAAAGATACAAAAAGAAAAGATGATGATCAGTTTGAAGAGTTTAGTCAGACGAAGAATTGACATCGAAATCACTAACCCTGTTTGAAATATACTAATCAAGATCAATCAATCGATCACAATCAAGTTACTTTCTTGTATTCGAAAGTCTTTTTTTGATTGAGAGTATGATATAAAGAAAGCTGTGGTTCGAATGAGAATTGATATCAAGATACGATGAGAGTAGAGAGAAAGAATCAGATATCAAGTTTTCCTGAGAAGATTGATTGAAAGTAGAAACTGATAGAAAAAAGTCTCATTGAGGCTGTGTTGAAGTGATCGGATAAGGAAGTTTGTCAAAAGAAAAGAAAGAAAAAAGTAGGCGACATACCGATCGAAACTTTTTGACAAAGTCTCTGATGATCTGATTTTAGAATGGGATTACCTAATCAATCAAGAAAAGTAAGATTAGTTGTTTTGATGAGTGATTGAAAGGTTGAAGAACTGACTGATGGGTGATGAGAGTTAGATATATTAAAGTCGTTTGTTCGAAAATAAGATGAGGCTGAAGTTCAAATGTATGTACCCGATTCGTTGGTTTGGTGGTTTGTTCGTTTGTTCGTTTGATTGTTCGTTTGATGGATTGATTAGGTAGATTAGATTGAAATAAGAAATCAAGATTAGTTAGTAAAGAAGACAGATTATAGTCAGTTCAACCAATCCGACCAATCGAATCCCATCAACATACCACTCAAAACCTCTCTCTTCTCTTGAGTCTTCACACTTCACACTCTCTTCTAGAGTACTCTATGTATTACTTACACTCTTCAGACTCTAGATTGAGTCTATTGAGTTTAGAATCGGGTTGGATAGAAAAATGTGATTTGGTGGATAAGTTGTTGAGGTAAACTCGGAATGAATTTTGAATTTAGTCAAACCTATTTCACCCAATTCGATATGTCACTGCTTGGTTGGTGAGATTAAACAAATACAGTTTCTGAAAAGTGTGGTACTTTTTTGATATGTATCTGCTCTTAAGTATCCTTAACTGACTTAGAGTATGTCTTGGCTTAAGATTCATCTTCTCACTGTGAATTTACGAAACTTCACATCCTCATCGGCCGTGAATTTGAGACTCGTTAGAGCATCCACTATCGTTACAGTAAAATTTCAGTAAATTTTACAGTACAGATTTCACAGTACAGTAAATTTAGGTACAGAAAGGTGGAAATCCACTATCGTTTCAGTAATATCGTTCTGTACGGTACGTACCGTACAGAAATGACCCTGCCCCACAATCATAGAGAATTGTACATTCAGTAAATAATCTGCAAGCTATTGACCTTGGCTCAGAAACATGGATAGTCTCAAAGTATCTAGATTTACGAGATGCTGAGATCCATCATGGTCTGATGAATGACCTCAAGGATCCATCATTGTCTGATGGACGATTGTACAACAACAAGGACAATCAAAAAAAGCAAAAAAATAGCACAAGATGTTCATTTGATGAAGTCACTTTGATTTGATCAAGTCGATTATTGAGAAGATTGGTTGAAATGGTTGATTGACAAGAAGGCAAGAAATTTGATCGATGAGAAGATGAAAAATTTGATCGATGAGAAGATGAAAGAGTTGATTGATGAGAGGGTGATAGAGATTGAAGGATAGTAGAGGGTGATTTTGGGAAGGTGGTGATGAATCCCTATGTAGAATCGGTAGATTTGGTGGATACCGATTCGGTACAGATTCTGTAGAGGTGCAGTAGATTTACTGGACCTCTACAGATTTTTGACCGAATCTGTAGCTACCGATCTGTACTTTGTACACGATTGGGGATTTTTGGCCTCGGTACGGTAAATTTCAGTCAAATTTACAGTACCGAGGCTGTTTACAGCAACGATAGTGGATGCTCTTAAGCCGGTCGGTGCTTAAATTCCATTCGGAACTCATCATCAGACTTCAACACTGGTTTTATCTATCAATCCTACTTTGTTTATCTACCTTATGCTTTATTTACAACCTACCTACTTATCTCAACTTTAACAATTCTAAGCATGACTTGCACTTCGATATCTTCCGTTAACTCGTTTCAAGATCATAAGTTATAAATATATGGTACTAGCAAAACAGAAAACACCCTGTTCTAAGTTCAACTCCTAAGGCTAAGCAGGTGGAGTTTGAAGGTTTTATTTTGGCGACAATCATCAAGAAAGATTTTCGGGATAAAGTGAATCAAGTTTACAAGTCTTGGAGATATACATTGAGACAAGCCAGCTATTGATAAGGCTTAGCTGAGGTCTTGTGAATATGTGTACAAAATAACCAGAAACACTCAACTCACCTGGGAGAGAGTTAAATTGCTTAGGAGAAACTTGAAAGCTTAGAAACATCACAACTTTCTACGGTCTTTATCGTAAAAAAGTTCCCCGCTGTAACGTAAGTTTATGTGAATTTTACGACAATAAGGGGGCTCAAGTCAAAAATTTTGCGGCCTTTTCCGAAAAATTAAGGGGTTTCAAGTTTAAATCTTTTATACGGGTTTTTAAAAATTCGGTCAAGTTTTATACGACACTGTAAGATTTTAAATTTGACCGTTTATAAAAATCAAGCACATCAAATAATTACCGTCGTAAAACAAATCGAAGCGGTGATCGTATCGTTCCGAGGTTTGGCGACATTTCCTTTGAAGATAATGACGAGATGGCCTTATTGACCAATCTCATGTTTGAAGATGTGGTCAATACCATGATTGAAAAGGTCAAATTGTTGACCAAATGATTTTTAAAAGCGTATGTTTACGCTAATTTTAAAGCGGGAGACGTAAAAAGGTCTCCCGTTTTAAAAATATTTTACGTAAAATTTATGTCTTCATCCAAGTTTTCAAAACATAAAAATACGGAAAATCTTGAACTTGAAACCCCTTATTTTATGCAATTGGGAAAAGTTTTTTTACGATAAAAGTTGTAAAATATTTTGAATTGAGCCCCCCTATTTTTATTAATTTGGGGTGCCGTTTTAGGTGTCCCTGTAAAAAAATACGCATATTTTACAACAACAGGCAAGTTGTTGTAGCATGAAAATATGTAAAAACATTCAACTTGAAACCCCCTAGTGTGTGTTTTTTCTGCAAATATACAGTCAACAGCATTTGGGACACCTAAATAGGTTTCCTGAATTTTTTAAATTTATAGTATCTTTGGCAACATTGAGGGGTTTCAAGTTAGAAATCTTTACATATTTTTGCGCTAAAACAACTTGCCTTTTGTTGTCAACCGCGAGAGGTTCTGCAGAGCAGAACCTCCATGGTAGAGACAACAGAACAACCCCATAGCTCACTTTCGCAAATACAATCAGTACTTACAAACATAAAACCATAAAAGACACATACTAAAACCCACACCTCTATCACTCGAGTTTCAAGAGTGTATTACTTAACGAGTTAATTTCAAAATATAAAATAAGTATTAAGAAACCAACTACGGTTCCTTAATAAAAATGATACAACAACTAACATGTCGTCCCTGACCAAACTAGGGTCTAAGAATACAATCCAGGCTAGGCCAGTTGAAACCACGATAACAGGAAACCAGCCAACCAAGAAACTACCTGGACCCTTAATGAAAGAAGAAAAGAGAGTAACTAAGTACGAATGATTCCAAAGGAATTTTCCGTTAAATATCAACCACTCTCTCCAACAAGGAACAAACGACATCTTTTATCCATAACACCACACAAATCTTTTAAACACAAAACTTTATTTCTTTACGAAAGCTTCTACTTTCCTAGAATAAAACCAATTCCACCTTTCTCCCTTTTTTCTTATTCACTCTTAGATCAGTTAGCTAAACAGTTAGATACTCCTTCTTTAAAGAGGAAGGACCTTTTTATCTTTTAACTTCTCATCGACCAAATAAGATCTATATTTCTCCTCTTTTCACTTTATCGTTAAGGTTGCTAGAAAACGTTACAGATCATTTAGGTAGTTCTAATTGACTGACGTGTACTTCCAACCTACACTTCGTTTTTGATAAACTATTATCAAACCACCGCTGAAGCGAGCCTGTTACATAACCACGAATCCCGTGTTCATTTCAGAAGATTTATATAGTGAGTGCACTATATATCTAAACTGGCAGCGGTATCCAAATTCCGTACCTTAGACAAGTTATAGCTAACGACTATACTTTACTTTTTCAACTTTGCTCACCAAGAATCTAAAGCCTTTATTATTTGAATTTGTTAGTCTGAACTACCAAATTTCTTAGAGTAAATACTTTTGTGAGTAATCATATCAACCTTATTCTCCCACGTAACAACTATTGGAAGACTCAGGCTGACATTTGGGGGCCTCATCTTTTTACAAGTTTTTCTACAACATCTTCGGAAAAACGTGGATCCGATTCTCCTCTTCTCTACTTTCCTCAAATTAACTATTTCAGAATCATTCTTCTATAAAATACAATAAGCAAAATAAAAAAATTATCCATTTATATTCAAACAGATATATCAAAATTTCTTCCTCTGAGATCGACTTCATTTCACTAAACTTGTTCCAAGAACTTCCGTATTTTGAGTTTACGGACAAAAATCCGTTCACTGACCCCATTTACAGTCCCGACTTCAGACCTTACGATAACTTTGGAATCCATTCTCTGAGAGTGGGACATACATACCTTACGTTTCTAGCACACTGGGACCATCTTCCAGAAGACACCTTTTCCGCAGATCTAGCGGTTATACCCCCCCAGTAAGAACGGACACTAGAACCAGTTAGTACTACCGTTTTATAAACTCTGTTTTCTATTTTTTTAGCACCTGCTAAAAAATCTTTTCGGAATTCTTTTGCTTTCCTCTTTCGTTGAAAACCTAAAAGTGAATATCGATACGGTTCAAGAGGTGACCCCTTATAACCCAGACAAACTTTTAGACTACGAAGAAGCCGATAGTGAGTTTTTTTTTAACCAATATTCTAACGTTGTTCGAAAGAGACATTTCTAATAACAAGTCCCATTTACGATTCCTCCAGTGAATCAGCTACCAGCTAGTGATAGCTTACTTAATAGCCCGACGCCAGCACCAGCATCAGCCCCAGCGTCATCGGCCAGGTCAGGAAGATTCAAACCACCACCTTTGAGCCTTGCGACAGCCAACCCGGTAAGGAATCAGCCAGTTCCTCTCGAGGCTGCTTTTGGACTGAGACAGGACAAAGTCGGTATAGACGAATCAGCTTTTCAAGACTTCTTCGGGAAGACTAGCACTATCACTCAACACCAATACATACCTAGTAGGTTCTATAACTTCGCTTGGTCTAAGTGACGAAGAATCTTTTTCCTGTGTACTTACTTAATGGCACCTATCACCAGAGGTAGCTCCTCAAGAGCATCCAGTGTTGCAGGATCAACAACGAATGTCAGCGATGATCATCGACGGAATGAACAACCAGCAGACAGCGTCAGAAGGCAAAGCACGTCCACCACCACCAGCAAACGGCCCCAGACGAGACCTTTCAGCGGAGGAGACGGATCTGCTCCTGCAACATGCAGAGAACTACAAAGTATGGGAGGCAGCGAAAGATCAGCAAGATCGCCAAGCTTTCAAAAAGGCGACCATCAAAGGCAAAGTCTCCCACCGAGCACTCTCCAAAATGATGGGTTACAAGTATTTAATGAACAGAACGAACCAATGGAATCCAGCGATCTGGGATTGGAATACCTTCGAGATAAGGAAGAAGGGCAAGCATCAAACAGCAGGACACCAACTGATCCCAAATCAGAGAAAAGGCGCCAGGCATCAGCCACTCCCGACCATGACTCAAGGGGAGCTTACCCTTCAGTTGCTCAGGGAGGCAGGGATAGCAGCGAGGAGTTAGATCTGACTGTGTTGCCTTTAGATCGGGAGTTAATAAACCCGATGTTCCATCATTTGAAGCTGTACCTGGACCCCATTGTACTTAATAATGATAAGTTGTTAAATGAAATACGAACTATTGAGTCACTCGTTAAAACTAGTAATCCAGTGAGAAAAATTAAGTCCGTTCAGAAAGCTATAATGAATTTGGTGGCGAATATCAATGATCAGGTGAAAGTCTTGAATCAGATAGGAGGAATGGTTCAGAAATTGTCCGAAAACGATAAGGATTCACAGGGAGAACTGCAAAAGTGGGTTAACCAGGTGAGAGATGACATCGGACAAGATTTAGCGGAAACGCGAAATAAGATGATCAGTGAACATACTAAACACCTTAGTGAGCACACGAGAGAGACAAACAAAATAGTCCATGCTCTGAATAATAATATGAGAGCCACAAATGACACTATTAGAGAAACAAACGTAGCTACACTCCCAGCAGAGGATCGTCTAGAGTGACCTGCAGCAATGAAGCTGCCTGCCGTTTGGAGGGAAGGGGCATGGCCCTTT